CCTTGAGTGAAGAGTAGCTAAAGCAAGTGGAAAAAATGACAAGATAAAAGAGCTGAACAGAAGATTTCAAAGAGCAACTTGAGCAGACAGACCCAATTATTATAATGAAATGTACAAAGACCTGGAGTTAGAAAACCAAAAGGGAAGAACATGCTTGGCATTTCTCAAGCTGAAAGAACTGAGGAAAAAAATTGAAGCCTCGTGTTGCAAGATTGAAGGATTCTATGGGCAAAATATTGAATGATGCAGGAAGCATCAAAAGAAGCTGGAAGGAGTACATTGAGTCAGTATACCAAAAAGAACTGGTTGGTATTCATCCATTTCAGGAGGTAGCATATGTACCTTTTGTGGTATTCTTGCCAAAAATGCAGGACCTGAATCTAAGGAGGAAACATAAAGAAATCTAAATGTCCAGAAAGACATTCTGCAAAACAACTAGACTGACTTGTTTCCTTCAAATTGGGAGCTCTGGTGGTGTAGTGCCTAAGACATTTGACTGCTAACTGGCGGTTCAAACCCACCAGCCACTCTTCGGAAGAAAGGTTGGGCAATCTAATTCCGTAGTGATACCACCTCGGAAACCCAAGAAAGGGTCGCTATGAATCAGATTTGACTCGATGGCAGTGATTTTGTCAAGGTAATAAAAGACAGTGAATGACAGCCTGAAGAACTGTTCCAGATTAAAGGAGACTAGAGAGATATGACAATTCTATGTGATCCTAGATTAGATGTGGGTCAGAATTTTTTTCCTGAAAAAGACAGTATTGGGATAATTGGCAAAATTTGAATAAGGTCTATAGCTCAGATTATAGTCCTGTATCAGTGTTTATTTCCTGAATTTGCTAATTTTGGCTATATAAGAGAATGTCCTTGCTTTTAGGGAATATTTAGGAGTATAGAATTTTATATCTAATTTATGTTAAAATTGTTCAGAAAAAAAAATACTGTATATATTGAGAGAAAATGTAAAATGTCAACAACTGGAGATTGTGGGTGAAGACTGTGCAGGACTTCTTTTCTATTATTTCAAAATAAAAAATTATTTGTAAAGAAAAGAAATTGGAAGGAAATGTACTAATATGATAGTAGTTACTGTTTCAGAGTGCTTTTATCCGGTGCTATTCTTTTCTAGATTTTATACAAAGTAACCTTTTCTGTTTTTTGGAGAAATACAATATATAATCTTATAATTATACCATGTACTTAGCATATTTTTTTTCTTTAATTTTGAAGACAATAATTGTGTTAGTTGTTTTTGGACTTGGTCCAGGGTATAGCAGTAGCACAATTTGGATTTTTATTATGATTCCACCAGTGTACCAACATAGATATACCAAAGGAAAAGACCCTAAGAGTGTGATGCAGAGACAAGTAGAGCTACATTACATGGGGTCTTGTTTCCCAAGATGTTGGTTGTTACTGTGGCCTTCATGACCCTCTATCATATTCCAAATTGTTTCAAGGAGAAGTATAATGCTATCCATTATTTTAAAATCCATTCTCAGTAGCATTTTAGGAGGAAGTACATTTCATATCAACTACTTGTCTGTCAGTTTGGCATACTTTGGTGGCTTGTGTGTTGCTGTGAGTCTGGAAGCTATGTCACTCATATTTCAAATACCGGCTAGGTCACCCATGGTGGACAGGTTTCACTGGTGCTTCCAGACTAAGAGTCTGGGAAGAAGGACGGGGCCAACATTTGTGAAAAAACTGGCCCTGAAAACCTTATGAATAGTAATGAAACACTGATTTATTACTGGAAAACTTTACGAATAGCAGTGAAACACTGTCTGATATAGTGCCAGAAGAGGAGCCCCTCAGATTGGTGGTTGTTGTTAATATGCCACTGGGTCAGACCTGATTCACAGTGACCCCTCTTTGGGTTTCAGAGGCAGTATCACTATGGACATAGATTGCCTAACCTTCGTTCCAAGGAGTGGCTGGTGAGTTTGAACTGCCAGCCTTCTGGTTAGCAGTCAAGTGTGATTGGAAGGCACTCAAAATACAACTGGGGAAGAACTGCCTCCTCAAAGGAGAATCGACCTTAATCATGGATGGAGTAAAGCTTTCGAGACCTTCATTTGCTGATTGGGCACAACTCAAAATGGGAAGAAATAGCTGCAAACATTAAAAATCAGTATGTGGAATGTATGAAGTATGAATCTAGGAAAATTGGAAATTGTCAAAATGAAATGGAGCACATAAAGATAGCTATTCTTGGCATTAGTGAGCTGAAATATACTGGTTTGGCCATTTTGAACCAGACAGTCATATGATCTATTATACTGGGAATGACAAATTGAAGAATGGCATTGATTCATCATCACAAAGAACATTTAAAGATCTATCCTGAACTTCAGTGTTGTCAGTGATAGGAAAATATCCATATGCCTACAAGGAAGATCAGTTGATACTACTCAAATTTATGCACCAATCACTAAAGCCAAAGATGAAGAAATTGAAGATTTTTACTAACTTTTGCTGTCTGAAATTGACCAAACATGAAATCAAGATGCATTGATCATTATTGGTGATTGGAATGCAAAAGTTGGAAATGAAGAAGCATCAGTAGTTGGAAAATATTGCCAGAGATCCCATGATAGAATTTTGTAAGACCAACTTATTGTAAATACCTTTTTTCAATAACAAAAACTGTGACTGTACATGTGGACCTTGCCAGATGAAATACACAGGAATCAAATAGACTACCTCTGTGGAAAGAGGTGATGGAGCAGCCCAATATCAATCAAAATAAGGTCAAGATCTGATTGTGGAACAGACCATCAATTGCTCATATGCGAGTTTAAGTTGAAGCTGAAGAAAATTAAGTATGACCTTGATTATATACTACCTGAATCTAGAGGTCATCTGAAGAAGAGGTTTGTCACGTTGAATACCAATGACTGAAGACCAGATGAGTTGTGGGATGATATCAAGAACATATATGAAGGAAGCAAAAGGTCATTAAAAAGACAGAGAAGGAGGAAAAGACCAAAATGGGTGTCAAAGAGACTCTGACACTTGCTTTTGAATGGAGAGTAGCTAAAGCAAATGGAAGAAGAATGAAGTAAAACAGCTGAACAGAAGATTTCAAAAGGCAGCTCCAGAAGACAAAGTATTATAATGAAATGTGCAAGGACTTCATCTCACCTACTTTGGTCATGTTGTCAGAAACGACCAGTCTCTGGAGAGGATTATCATGCTTGGTTGAGGGTCAGCGGAAAAGGGGAAGACCCTCAACAAGGTCGATTGATACAGTGGCTGCAATGATGGGCTCAAGCATAGCAAAGGTTGTGAGGATAGTGCAGGACCAGGCCATGTTTTATTCAGTTGTACATAGGGTTACTGTGAGTCAGAGCTGACTCGATGGCGCCTAATAAGAACAGCAACACATTTCATGTATTTAAGCAAACAGTAGTGTTATATAACTCCAGAAAGTTTGGTAGTTATTGCTCAAAGTTCTCTTTGGATGAAATCTGTAAACATGTCAAGAAAAATTGTAAACAAAACTATAAAACAAAACAGTGATAATATCTGGAGAGTGAAACAAGGAGGGTGAATTAGAGACTTTAACTCACGACTTTTTAACATTGTAATCTGAATAGAGTTATATATATCTGGTTTAAAATTATTAATATATGACAAGATATAATGTGAAAAGTCTCCATTCTTGCCTTGTCGCCCTCCCCAAGAAAAGTTGTGGTGCAGTTAATTGCTAATCATGATGACTCCATGTGTGTCAGAACCATGCCCTGTAGGGATTTCAAGGCTGGTTCCTTTTAGAAGTAGATCTCTAAACTTCTCTTCTGAGGTGCCTCAGGGTAGATTTGAACCACTAACCATTTGGTTAGTAGCTGAGTGCTTAACCGTGTGCATCACTTAAGGCTGTAAATCTTTACAGAGCAGACTGCCTCATATTCTCCCATGGAGTGGCTGGTAGGTTCAAACTGCCAACCTTTAGGTTAGCAGCCCAGTGCTTTAACCACTGTTCCACCCAGGGACTCAATTTCCATTTCCAGAGATAACCACTTTGTCTGTTTCTTGAGTAACTCCGAGAAAAAATGAATGCATATAAAAGCAAATACATATTTTTTTTCCTTTTTTCTATGTAAAAGGTAGCCCACATATTACTTACAAAAGATTTTTTGAAAAATTGCTATGTAAGTTTAAGAAGAAAGATTAAGAGAAAGAAATGTGGGTCAGAGGAATGGTAGTTCCATGTACTGGCCTTTTCAGTTATCCAAATAACTTGGATAAATAGATTAAGAGTTAGAAACTTTGGCCTGTACATTGAAGAAACTTGTATGTTTTGAAGAATTTAGGGAATGTGGAAATTGTTTACAGATTGAGTATCGTCCAAACTTAACTGTAGTATTTACTTGTACCTAAAATAATCTCAATTTCTTCAGCTTAAATAGATGCAGAGCAAAAATATGTGTTACTTGCTTGACATTTAGAACAAGTATTTATTTTAAGAGTTAAATTGTAATTGGGAGTTTTTAAGGTGTTAAATTATGGTAGCTGCAACAATGGGCTCACCCATAGCAATAGTTAAGAGGATGGTGTAAGCAAGACAGGATAGCACACGATGGGGCAGTGTTTCGTTCTGTTGCATGTGGTATTGCTGAGTCAGAGGTGACTTGGCACCTAACAACAACAACAACATCACAATTATAAACAATGAATAACATTTTGTCAAGACACCTTATTGAAAATAAAAATATCTATATGTTTACTATAATGTGTATTATGTCATAGGTATTGTCTTCAAGAAGACACACTGGACCCGTTAAATTAACAAATGGAAAAAAAGGGTAAGTACTTAAAGAAGTTTACAACTTAAGGAAATTTCAAGGTTTTTTTAGGTCTCTGCGCTAGACCACATTTTGCCTCCCTCCAAAACTAGGTGGACCTCGACCTTCACAATTTTGGAGAGGAAACTTTCACATCTACTCATGTTAATCATTTTAAGGTTTAACAGTCTTTACAATCTTTATATAAATCTGTTCTTGTCCAACCTTTGCTAGAAAGAATAGACTACTTACTAATATATTTTGGGACAAAATATATTTTTCATATTTATAAGAACATTGGGAGAGCTCTGGTAGCATAGTGGCTAAGACACTTGCCTGCTAACCAGACGGCTGGCGGTTCAAACCCACCAGCCACTCCTCGGAAGGAAGGTTGGGCAATCCTACTTCCGTAGTGATACTGCCTCGGAAACCCAAGGAGGGGTCGCTATGAGTCGGGTTTGACTTGATGACACATAACAACAACAACAACATAAGAATATTAACAAACTTGTTTTCTAGGACCCATTTAAGAAAAGTGTCACGTTTTAATGCCGATTCTGGCTATCCAATCCACTCTGATTTGGAAAATCAGGTAAGATTAAACTTAATACATCCAATACACATTATTTCAGTTTGTCTTCAGGTAAAAACTAAAAAAGGGAAATAAAATGCACAAGTAAAGTACTAGTTAGCTTAAGAAAGTGGATAGTGGTAGTGGTACAATTCTCACTGACCTTGCAGGAGACCAAGGTTCGGTTCCCAGCCAATGTACCTCAAGCACAAGTACCACCTGTCTATCAGGGTGGCTTGTGCATTGGTATGATGCTAAACAGTTTTAACAAAGCTTCCAGACTAAGACAGACTAGGAAGAAAGGCCTGGCAACCTATTTCCAAAAATTAGCCAGTGAAAACGCTATGGATCACCACTGTGTAAGCCCTTTGTACGTGGGGTTGCCGTGAGTCAGGGTGAATTGACAGCATCTAACAACAAGTAACTCTGAGGCTTACTATTTTAAAACATGTTTTCTACCAATAATTGTTCTAAATAAAGAAATTTCAAAGCAGTGTAATTTTTTTTGTTGTTTTCCTACACTAAAATTTGCTGTCCAAACGTATTCTAAATGATTTTCTCATTACAGAGTGAAACCGTACAGGGGCTTGATGGTTGTGCTTCTTTACTGCGGGACATTCTGAGAAATGAAGATTCAGGTTTTATTTTTTCAATGCTTCTTTGCTGATCACCTTTTCTATATTAAGTAGTCCTTTTAATTTTAATGATCTTTTTTAAAATTGTAAATAGGTTCAGAAACAGCATATTTAGAAAATAAATATAAATCCAACTCCAGAACTTCAGAGGGCAAAAGATGTGGATCTAAAAAGAAAGGACCTGAAAATCACACTCTTCCTTCAGCTGTCTGGAAAGAAAATTGTAAGCATTTTTTTTCTCATTTATTTAAATAAAATCTGTAATTCTGGGGGTTTTGATAAAACAGGAATATACAGTTGTCTTCCAGTTAATAATGTACCGGTTATTCAAGTGTAAGACTGCATATACTTCTGCTCCTCTATTTAGCTTCTAATCTCTTTTTCAAAGTTACTTTGCTCTCTATCACTTCCCCCAAAAGATAAGAAGGAAGAGAAGCTATGTCTGGGTTTTGTAGGAGAAAAGGTTCAAACCCTAAGTGATACTTAGTGGATATTAAGAGTTCTTTTTGTTTTCTCTGCCACTTGTTTTTCAGATAATCATAGGTTGGTTGTGTCGCAAGTATACTTATAGGTACTAATTGTTTTAAAATTATTTTATATGTGTATATCCTAATAGGCTCTCACTTATTGAGCTCCACAGTTAAAATACATGGTACTTAAGAAGGGAAAATTCCAGGTTGGCTAGATGAATAAGGAAAGGGGACCTGCCATTGTGTTATGAAGGATATAGTGAAGGGTATTTACACCCTCACAGTTAATTTTGCTGACTTAACTAAGTGCAGTAATTTAACAAACAATTTAGAAAAGCACATTTTGAGTATGTTGTTGCAGGGACACCTATAGAACAATGCACCCCAAGACAGAGATAAAAAAAGTTCAGAATGAGAATTCAGATGGAGAGGAATGGGAATAGCTGATGCCACAGTTCAAGCAGCCAGAAATGTCAGCACAGGAATGCATGCTCAGGTTTAGCTTTGGCAAAGGGTGAAGTCTGGAAAGTCATCTAAGGAAACAAGGCAAAGAGGCTGACAAAATGAGGGTAGCTCGTTCATGGGTGTAGAGGTTGATGTTCTGGATGATCCTGAGTTAGAGGACAAAGGTGGGGGAATTAGTTACTTCAGTCTCCTCCCTAACCCTCCTTGGAGACCAGTAACATTTAGTCTCATATTATCTCCACCTGCACCATCCAAAGTGTTAGACATTAGCCACATGGGGCTATGAAACTAAAACTCTGGATGGATTCAAACTGCCAACATTTTGTCTAGTAACTGAGTACCTAACCTTTTATGCCAGATAGGGGCTCCTTTTTAACTCTAGAAGAAGCTCTGGTGGTGCTGTGGTTAAAGCATTGGGCTGCTAACCAAAAGGTTGGCGATTTGAACCCACTAGCACCCCTCATGGGAGAACGAAGAGGCAGTTTGCTTCCATAAAGATTTATAGCCTTGGGAACCCTAAGGGGAAGTTCTGCTGTCCTGTAAAGTCACTATGAGTCAGAATTGACTCGATGGTAATGGGTTTTTCACCTACAAATTTTATTAATTCTAAATACACATAAGCTATTTCTGAAGAAAATTTAGCATCCAAATTGCAATTGCTTTAAGTAAAGAAAAATACGCACTGGATTTAGAAGAGTTAGTGCAATAAATAGAAATATCTTAATTTTTATATTAATTACATGTTGAAACATTATTATTTTGGATAATTTAAATAGAGTATATTACGAAAATTAGTTTTGTATTTCTTTTTACTTTTTTAATGTGATCACTGGAAAATTTTAAATTACGTATGTAGCTTGCCTTATAGTTCTCTTGGACAATGAAAAAAAAATCAGGGGTCAGCAAACTATAGCCAGTTTTATTTTGTAAATAGTATTTATTTTGTTTACTTGTTTTATAAATAAAATTTTATTGGAACATAGCCATGCTCATGTGTTTACATATTTCCAATGGCTGCTTTTGTGATATAATGGCAGAGTTGCGTAATGTTGACAGAGACTTTGTGGTCTCCAAAATCTGGAGTATTTATTTACTATCTGATCTTTTTAAGAAAAAATTTACTGGTCTAAACTGTTAAGGAGCTCAGTGGTGCAGTGCCTAAGGCATCTGACTGCTAAGAGGATTGGTGGTTCAAACCCACCAGCTGCTCTGCCAAAGGAAGGTGGGGCAATTGACTTCTGTAAAGATTTACCACTTTGAGTCGGAATTGACTTGATGACTGAATTATATTTTTGTTGTTGTTGGTGGTGGTCTAAACTATTAAAGAAGAGGACTATTTATTGGGGCTCTGGTGGTGCAGTGGTTAAAGCATTTGGCTGCTAGTGAGTTCAAACCCACTAGCCACTCCATGGAAGAATGATGAAGCAGTCTGCTTCCATAAAGATTTATATTGGAAACCATATGGGGCAGTTCTACTTTGTCCTATGGGTTCTCTGTGAGTGTTAATCAACCCCATGGCAGTGAGTTTGGTTTTTTAGTTTAATATACAAATGAAGGAATAGTGGCTATTCCAGGGATCTCTGGTGGCATAGTGCCTAAGGCATTTGACTGCTAACCAGAAGGCTGGTGGTTCAAACCCACCAGCCACTCCTCGGAAGGAAGTTTGGGCAATCTACTTCTGTAGTGATACCACCTTGGAAACCCAAGGAGGGGTCGCTATGGGTCAGATCTGACTCGATGGCAGTGAGTCTGGTTTGATCTGGTTTATTCTTCTCATCTACTTTTCACGTCAAAGCAGATTATTTCTTTTCTAAAAGACTCTTCCCCAAGGTACTCTTATTTCGGATGTAGGTGGCTGACAGTGAGTGCCAGGGTAACAACTTGTTAGACCCTAATTTAACTACTTCTGACAGGGTGTTACCAACAGGAAACAAATGGCAATGCTCAAATTAGAATAATTTCAAAGGGACTCATTACCGAAGTATGAGTGGAGGCTAGAGAAAACATAAAGGATTGTGTAGTAGCCATGGACTAGTAGCAGCAGCAATAGTGCTGTCATCATCCCTAGGCCTTAAGGGATGAGGAGAGGGAGAGGTTACTGAAACCCAGACAGAGGATATTGTATAGTGTAGGCTGCCTTGAAGAGTACTGAGCTTCATTTGAGAGACATGGCCAACCTATAGTGGGGGAGGAATCAGGAATAATACTCCAACATCATGCTTTTTTCCTTCTTGGATATGCCAAGACTCCCACTGATTTGAACGCAGTGGTAACCTTTGATGTATATCAGGTCTGGGATTTGATTTTTATTTTCTTTGTATGTTATTATTAAATTAGTCTGTTACTGTGTTGTGGATGCTGGCAGAAGACACAAGTCACCTGGGTTAGAGAAAGGACTTTATTACTCGTGGCACAGCATGTATATCAGCATATTTGCTTTGGTTTCCCCTTATCAGTTTCCATGAGTGTGGTGTGATGGGCCCAGATGGATGTTGCATGTGCTATGGAGTTTTGGTTTCCGCTGAGGAACACTGAGCTTAGGGAATACATTTTTTTTTCCCCTTCAATTATGTTTTAGGTGAAGGGTTACCTGGCAGCTTAGGTTCCCATTCAACAATTTCTACACAGATTGTTTAGTGACATTGGTTACATTCTTCGTAATGTATGAACATTCTCATTATCTCTTTTCTGGTGGTTCTGTTTCCATTAATCTAATTTCCCTGCCTCCTTCCTTTCTTACCTTTGTTTTAGAGTAATTGTTGACCATTTTGTCTCATGTAGATGATTTTTTAAAGGACCATAGTACTCATGAGTGATACTCTTTATTTTGTGAACCAATCTGTTAATTTAAAAGGTAGCTTTAGGGCCTAGTTTTGGTTCAAAGTTTAAAGAGTATCTCAGGGCATAGTCTTGGGGATTCCTCCGGTATCAATGGATCCAATAAGTCTGGATTTTTTTAAGAGTTTAAGATTCTGTTCTATGTTTTCCTCCCATTGTATCAGGATCCATCTATTATGTCCCTGATCAGAATTATCGGTAGTGGTAGTTGTGTACCATCTAGTTGTGGTCTCAGGGTCAGTGAGGCCATGTATAGACCATTAGCTCTGTACATTAGTTTCCTCTTTGAATCTTTGTTTTCCCTTTTTGTCTTTTGCTCCAGACAAATAGAATCCAATAGTTGTATCTTAGATGGCCATTTGTAAGCTTGTAAGACCTCAGACACTACTCTCCAAACTAGGATGTAGAACATAAACGTTATGTAGAACATAAGGTGTCCCATGAGACTATGGTCCTAAGGCTTCAACCTTAGAAAACCAGTCCCGTGAGATATTTGGTTATGTCTAAGTATCTGTACCTGTGCCCCCTATGTGCTTTATTATATATATGAATATATATGCATATGTGTACACATATGTATATATGTGTGTGTGTGTGTGTATATACACACACACACACACACACACACATACCCCTACTCCTCACATATCAACATTTTACACTTAAAATGGTAAATCTGACTAGTTTGTGCATTAATGACATATGTCTGGCAGTAACAAACACTAAAGTACAAGGTATGTTGGCTGTGATAGTTAAAAGTTATGTGTCAACTTGGTCGGGCCATAATTCTCAGTGGCTTGGCAGTTATATAATGATAAAATCTGACAGTTATGTAATAATGTAATAATCTTCCATTTTTTGATCTGATGTGATTATCCTCTAATTTTTGTGTAATGCCAATTTTCACATAATGACCTGGGCTTTGGAACCTAAGCATGTTGATAAGTGAGTGAGTGTACCATATATATATACATACCCATACCTATGCATGGAGCTCTGGTAGCATAGTGGCTAAAAGCACTTGACTGCTAACCAGAAGGCTGGCGGTTCAAACCCACCAGCCACTCCTTGGAAGGAAGGTTGGGCAATCCTACTTCCGTAGTGATATTGCCTCGGAAACCCAAGGAGGGGTCGCTATGAGTCGGGGCCGACTCGACGGCACATAACAACAACAACAACCTATGCATATATGCCTGTGTGCGTGAGTATGTGTGTGTGTACACACACATACTCACACACACATATATGGGAGCTCTGCATATGGGACCTCTGGTAGCGTAGTGCCTAAGGCACTTGACTGCTAACCAGAAGGCTGGCAGTTCAAACCCACCAGCCACTCCTAGGAAGGAAGATGCGGCAATCTACTTCCTTAGTGATACTGCCTCAGAAACCCAAGGAGGGGTCACTATGAGTCGGGTCCAACTCAAGGGCACATAACAACAACAACAACAACAACATACCTGCACATATTTTTTTTGGTTGCTGCAAAATTATATATGCCATAGCAATTACCAAAAGGTCATTTTTTCTTGTTTACATCTTGTTGTTGTTGTTGTTAAGTGCCGTCGAGTCGTTTCCGACTCATAGTGACCCCATGCACAGCAGAACGAAACACTGCCTGATCCCACGCCAGCCCCACAATCCCTGCTATACTTGATCCCATCATCGCAGCCACCGTATCAATCCATCTCCTTGAAGGCCTC